AAGATTTCAATAATTTTAGTGAAGACTCACGATTTGCTGTACGTGGGTTCTCTTGGTAAATGAAATTTTTATTCTTGTACGGTTCTTTTATATATGTGTTAAAACTCAGTGTACAAGAGACAACAATAAATCCCATATGTTAGTCGTGAGACAGACTAAACACATTCGTGTCAATAATACCAGGAAAGCTATGACATTCTCATGGGGTGCTAATATATGAAGGACTTAAGTTTCAAATTCCAACATAAATCTTGACCTATAATGAGAGGAATGTGACCAGACTAATATTTTAAGTGCTATGAATTGACTTTCTTTGTAATTTATGGTGTCTGTATCGTTTGGTAATCTCTTGTAACAGGATGTATCAAAGATTAGGCGGTGTTATTGAAACCACCTGTTCTCTAAGCTATTACAACTCACTAGTAGTGGCAATTAGGTTTCTTGGTATAGTGAAACAACATACAAGGACATGTGTTGAAATAAACTTGTTTGAAAGTTCAAAGAAATGATATTCAAGTACCGAAAAGCTTTCTTGTTATCATATCGACAGTAATGTTCAAATGCGTCTGCGCTGGGCTGAACGAGAGTGACCCCCAACAGGGGTGAGATAGTTACGGACAACGTACAAAGGTCACACTGCTGACCCAACGGTTTATGTGGCACAATAAACAAAAGTACGGCTGCAATAAAACATAAAACTAAACTTGAAATAAAAATATATTTATGAAAGAAAATTAAAATGTTTTTATGTACATATATAAACATGAAATCTTAGTTAAAAACAAAAATACTCATTCATTGTTTAGGTTTATTTACAAATATTATTTTTGGGTCTTGTATATTACCGAAACCATAAGAAGAGTATGTGATTATTAAAAAATTAAAAATAGATAAAATTTGCACTTTATGGACAACACAAGTTTTTTGGGATTGCAAAATAATGTACTAAAACATAAAAAGTAATCAGTTCAAATCTGGAACAAATATAAATATGGTAATCATTTCTTATAAATACCATTTCCTAACGTAATTTTCCAAGATATTATAGATCATAATGCAAAAAACTAAACTTATCAGAAGTAACAGGCTTTATGTTTCTTAAACTACACACATTTATTAAAGTCATTACGAAGTTTTAAAACTTTTTAACCAGTAGTTTTATTGTTGGAATGACAAATAGCAAAAAATCAAAAGTTAGTAGCCGGTAGTCAACGGGTTAAGGTAAGAAACACAAAGTGAACACAATACTTCAAATATAGACTAACCAGTGACCTATACAATGAAATTATAACCTCTTCAATATTTATATAGATACAACCTAAAATCCTATTAGCCCTACCACTAAGAACAGCACACTGCTTGGCTGGTTTAACCCTTCTCGATATGGGTCACAGGTGAAAGGCCACGTCATCTCGTTTGTTGACTCACAATTAAACATTTTACTGAACTACTAATTCATGAATTTATGTCAATAAGTTTGGTATCAAACTTAGATTATAATACAAATTTTAGAACTATACATTACTCAATTTATCAATTTAAAAGTAAATATTAAAACAACACAGATAAACATTGATTTTTGTATGTCACGTGGTATGTTGAATGCAGCACTGGTTCAAATTAGATGCTTGTTAAGTCAAAATACTAAGTCTATAGTTTCATATGAATTAGAAACTCAAATTACAAATATTGACAAGCTAGAATATAAAATAAGAAGGTCTTATCTTTTCTATTACTCATGTAATAAATATAACATAGTGGCGCCCCAGTCACCTCCTTCCATTTTTGGAAATGCTCCCTTATAAACACTTACTTCTATATTTGACATGAATAACCAATCAGAATGTCCCCTAGTGGTTTTTTTAAGCATCTCCAATGTTCCTAGCATCATTTCTTTCTTTTAAATCAAGATTTTAATGAGATAGGTTGTGTCTTTAGTCTTCTCAAAATTTCACATTTTTTTAGACCCAAATACAGCTTAGTAACTACATTTGATAAATTATAGTAGAATTCTATGGTATTGATGTAGTAGTTTATGATTGTTTAGTTATTCAAAAGTATATATGATACCTAAAAAAAATATTTTGTTTCATGTCCTCCACGTGCTTAGCAACCTACATCAAGCAGCAACATAGGTACATAGGTTGTAACTAGAAGAGATAATTGTTTGCTTTTCTTCTTTATTTACTGTTCTATGTTTTAGAAAAAATAACTTTAAGAACTTATTTCAAAATAGCAATAATCTATATACATATATAATGTATAATAATTGAAATGTGACTGTATTTTACAAAATACTAGTTAACTAAAACAATGCCAAGACAAGTTACTTTGTACAGCCCAAAGATCACCTTTATGTTATTTGATACGGTAACATGAGTGCACGTGAGTCACGTTGTTGTAACTTCTGCATTGTTAGCCAGGCACAGGTGAAAGGTCAATATAATAAAAATAATAAATATACATATAAATGTATTATGTTATGAGATTTAAGCTATTTCATCTGAACATTTATGTTTTCGTGTTATAATCTGTGTTCATTCTAGAATGAAAGATACATAATTTATGTTTATTTCCTAATTTTTTATGATGGTTGCAAGATCAGTCAAATTTACCAAACCAATACAAAGATTAATTACTGAAAATAACAGAAAAAATATAAAGTTTTTTCTTAAGAAATGTTTGATAACTATTTGGACATAATAAAGATTTCCCATGTGAAATTTCGAAATTTTATGATGCACAAAAATATTTTTAATGTTAAGATGAAAATTACTTTGTTTGATATATAGGCAAGATGTCAAAAGAAAAAAAGGCATGAGAGAAACATGGCTTTACAAACATTAAGACTTAATAAGAAAATTAGATATTTTGCATATGATAGCATTGTAATGTTTACTGATAAACTGTGAAATTTCATTAACATTCGTTTACTAATTTAAAAGTTATAGCATGAAATCTATAACAATCACAAAATTGTTATGAGGTCGGTCCCAGGGACCGAGCCCAGGTTGAAAGAGTTAAGAGACTGAACAAATACTACATCAATATCCCTTTCTTTCATAACACTGTTAAGGTTATTCTCATTCAAATTATATTTATAATTCAAATTATGATAACCCACATGCATCATCTTGCACTTATTGTAATTAAAAGCCATCTGCCATTTAGTTGCTCAATTCACAGCTGGCAACACCCAAAACCTTAATTTCATTAGCAAATTTAAGTAATTTATTGACCATTCCTTCATCTACATCATTGACGTAAATCAAAAGAAACAAAGGTCCTAAGACTGAGCCCTGAGGTACCCCACTTGTGATATTAATCCACTTTGAATGAACTCCATTTATAACAACCCTCTGCTTCTTCCATCCAGCCACTCATCTATTCAATTAGCTAGCTTATCCCTCACACCTATAGAAATATTTTTTTAGAAGTCTTACCCTTCTCTTACCCTCATCTACATAAGCATGCAGTAACCTTTTCAAAGAATGTCAAAAGATTTGTAATCCAAGATTTTCCCCTTAGTGAAACCATGTTGACTATCCAATAAAATTCTAAACTCTATTTAGTAACTTTGCAAGGCATCTCTTACCAGACTTTCCAAAACGTTTCCCACAACTGATGTAAGACTAATAGGCCTATAATTAATAGAACAGGTTTTATTACCTCTCTTAAAAAGAGGAATGACATTAGCTAACTTCCAATCCTCTGGCACCTGCCACTACTCAGGGACTTACAAAAATAGTAGCATATACAATCCATAATCTCCTTCAAAACCCTTAGGGAAATATTATCTGACCCAGAAGCCTTATCCTTCTTTAAAATTCCCTCTTTTTTCTTAACAAGCTCAGAATTAATGTGATTGTCTTGTTTGACCCTGTTTCCATC